GTAGGGGTCGGCCTAGAAGGGTTGTGGGGGAGGGGCGTAAAGGAGGTTTGCTGGTGCGAGGGGTTTGGACTTCCAGCAAAGCATGCGTGAGCGTATTTGATAGGAGTGAATGGAGACAAATGGTTTTTAATACTTGACGTGCTGTTGGAGTGTGAGCAAAGTAACATTTATGAAGGGATTCAGGGAAACCGGAAGACCAGACTTGAGTCCTGGAGATGGGAAGTACAGTGTCTGCACTCTGAAGGAGGGGTGTTAATGTTGCAGTTTTATAACTGTAGTGTAAAGCACCCCTCTGGCAAGACAGTGATGGAGTGAATGATGGAAGTTTTTCTTTTTCGGGCCACCCTGCCTTGGTGGGAATCGGCCGATGTGTTAATAAAAATATAAAAAATAATACTTTCATTGTTACTCTATCTTGTTCCCAAATACTTTATTTCTCTATTTTTTATCCTGTCACTCCGCGTGTGTGTGGGCGGGAGGGGGAAGGAGGAGCTACATTCCTGGTCAAGAAAAAAACAGTTCTTATTGACGTGATGGAAGCTGGCCTACAGGCGCACAATTCGCACGTACTTCTGTTGTGGCTGTAACTGTTGCTTCTGCTGCTGCTCTCTGCTACTGCTGTCTCCGAGGCTTCTATCTCTGCTACTGCTGCTCCCTCTCTCTGCTGTTGTCTCTCCTGCTGCTGCAGTCTCTGCTACTGCTGCAGACTCTGCTGTTAATGTTATCTCTGCTGCTGCAATTTCTCCTACCGTTGCAGTCTCGGCTCCTGCTGCTGCTGTTGTCTCTACTTCTGCTGTTTTCTGATGCTGTTGTTTCTGCTGTTGCTACAGTCTTTGCTGCTGTTACTGCTGCTGCCTACTTCTGGTACTGGTTTTACCAATTCTGTGAGCCAGAACACTTCACTACATCCCCTTCCCTCCCAACACAACACACAGCCAATCACCTGCCGCATGCAAGAGATACGCCTTGATTCGTCAATATTTTCGACTCTTTGCGTACAATCAATAGGTTGTGTGGCGTATACTACGTCAAACTGCGTCACTTGGCAGCTCAGTGCGTAGAGACCGTGTCAATCCCCAAACTACCCCTGAAAGAGGGTGCTTGTTAAAAGGTTTCAGTCACTGTGCTAATGAGCCGCCCAGTCATATCAGACACTGCTTAAACTAACACCTCTAAATGGTGCTTGTGGGCGGATGGGTGGGTGTTTTGGGTGGGTGGGTTGGAGAGGCTCCAGCTACGGATGAAGGGGGTCGGAACCTACTTAAGGATTCAGTGGTGTGAGGGGCACATGCTTATTTGTTGTTATGGCCGCCTCTGAGGGCTAGTTTACTGTGCAGTACTTGTTTCTTATTCTGAGCGGTAGTTTGTGTATTCAGTGTTTATACTGTCAGTTTGTATACCACTGGTGTTTATACTGTCAGTGGTAGTTTGTATACCACTAGTGTGTGTACTGTCATTTGTACTTCATATACCACCAGTATTTATACTGTCAGTGGTAGTTTGTATACCACCAGTGTTCATACTGCCAAAGGATTTCTTTCACAACTGAGAAAATACACTTTAACTTGTGTTACAGAAGAGTCAGGTTCTTCTCATGACTGCCAACACAATCTAGGGATTGCAAATACATTTTCACTAAAGATTTATTTTCATGATCCCCGTAGAGGTTGGTAAATTTCGGGTCACAGCAGAGGTCCAGGAACGGAGCTGTGCATGAGACGGGACGTATGGTCCAGTCTTGGCAAGTCTCCTAACACTTTCTGCCCCCAGTTGCCTAACAGTAAATAGGTATCGGGGACTACGTCCATTGTTTTGGGTCACATGTTTAGTTAAACTTATTTCTAGAGCGTTAAGTTTTTTTTTTTTTTTTTTTTAGATCTTATGCCTGGAATTTTTCACGCCTCTATTTTTTTCACTTTGATAATAGTCAAGGACGGACCAAAACGTCTTTGTTGTGGGATATCATGAGAGTGATGTGATGTGCATACAAGGTGGTGGTGGGTCATTGTGGACACCCGTCTCAACCACATTCATCTTACTGACCGTAATAATGGAGCCTGTGTGTGCGTGCGTGCGTACGTGTGGGCGTGTACTCAGTTGTACCGACCAAGTTGTGGTTGCAGGGGTCGATTCACAGCTCCTGGCCCCGCCTCTTCATTGGCCGCTACTAGGTCACTCTCCCTGCTTCATGAGCTTTATCATACCTCTTAAAGCTATGTATGGATCCTGCCTCCACTACATCACTTCCCAGACTATTCCACTTTTTGACAACTCTGTGACTGAAGAAATACTTCCTAACATCCCTGTGATTCATCAGAGTCTTCAACTTCCAACTGTGACCCCTTGTTGCTGTATCCCATCTCTGGAACATCCTGTCTCTGTCCACCTTGTCGATTCCTCTCAGTATTTTATATGTCGTTATCATATCCCCCCTATCCCTCCTGTCCTTCAGTGTCGTCAGGTCGATTTCCCTTAACCTCTTCTCGTATGACATACCCCTTAGCTCCGGGATTAGTCTTCTTGCAAACTTTGCACTTTCTCTAGTTTCCTTATGTGCTTGGCTAGGTGTAGGTTCCAAACTGGTGCTGCATACTCCAATATGGGCCTAACGTACACGGTGTACAGGGTCCTGAACGATTCCTTATTAAGATGTCGGAATGCTGTCCTTAGGTTTGCTAGGCGCCCATATGCTGCAGCAGTTATTTGGCTGATGTGCGCCTCAGGGGATGTGCCTGGTGTTATACTCACCCCAAGATCTTTTTCCTTGAGTGAGGTTTGTAGTCTCTGACCTCCTAGACTGTACTCCGTCTGCGGTATTCTTTGTCCTTCCCCAATCTTCATGACTTTGCACTTGGTGAGGTTGAACTCCAGAAGCCAGTTGCTGGCCCAGGCCTGCAGCCTATCCAGATTCCTTTGTAGTTCTGCCTAGTCCTCGTCCGATTGAATTCTTCTCATCAACTTCACATTATCTCCAAACAGGGACACTTTAGAATCTATTCCTTCCGTCATGTCGTTCACAAATATCAGAAACAGCACCAGTCCTAGGATTGACCCCTGTGGAAACCCGCTAGTCACAGGCGTCTACTCTGACACCTCGCCACGTACCATGACTCGCTGTTGTCCTCCTGACAGGTATTCCCTGATCCAATGCAGCGCCTTCCTTGTTATCCCTGTCTGATCCTCCAGCTTTTTGCACTGATCTCTTGTATGGAATTGTGTCAAACGCCTTCTTACAGTCCAAGAAAATGCAATCCACCCACCCCTCTCTCTTTTGTCTTACTGCAGTCACCCTGTCATAGAACTCCAGTAGGTTTGTGACACAGGATTTCCCGTCCCTGAAACCGTGCTGGCGGTCGTTGACAAGCTCATTCCTTTCTAGGTGCTCTACCACTCTTCTCCTGACAATCTTCTGCATGACTTTGCATACTATATATGTCAGTGACACAGGTCTGTAGTTTAATGCTTCGTGTCTGTCTCTTTTTTTTTTAAATTGGGACTACATTTGTTTTCTTCCATACCTCAGGTAGTCGCCTTGTTTCGATAGATGTGTTGAAGATTGTTGTTAGTGGCACACATAGCGCGTCTGCTCCCTCTCTCAGGACACGTGGAGAGGTGTTATCCGGCCTCATCGCCTTGAGGTATCTAGCTCGCTTAGCAGCCTGTGTGTGTGTGTGTGTGTGTGTGTGTGTGTGTGTACTCAGTTATATTCACCGAGTTGTGTTTGCGGGGTTCGAGACATAGCTCCCGACCCGTCCTCCTAAACCACTTTGTTAAGCATCACTGACTTCTGAGCTCTTAGGACAGAAATCAGTGATGCCGAGCAACCAGGTCATTCCACTTTCCAACCACTATAATACTGAAGAAATACTTTTTACTACTTATATTCTTCCTTATATCCCTATGGTTTATCTCTTAAGCTTTCACCTGCTCCCCACCCCTCACTGAACCTGGTCCTCTTAATTCAATCTCTCCTTATCTCCCTTATCAATTCTCTGTCGTCTTGAAACACTAGCTTCCTCGAGGACATTCCTTGACGTCATGGTGGAGCACTGATTTCCTTGAGGTTGACTGCTGTCACCTTGAAAAAACCGAAGGGTCTTGTAATAAAGCTACAGTGGAAGTTTTCCCTTTACCTCTTGCACAAGAACCAAGATAGTAGACTGTAGTGTGCTTCACTGGTTGATCCTTGAGTTGCAACTCTGTTTTTGTATGTGTGTGCGTGCCTACATTTTATTCTCTTAACACCCCCTTGTGTTTCTATCATTAGATTATTATTATTATTATTATTATTATTATTATTATTATTATTATTATTATTATTATTATTATTATTATCACCCCTGAAGGGGGTACCATTAAGTAGCTGACAGAATTCTTTATTTTTTTTCTGGCACTTGTGGTCAGCTTTAATTATTCTGTGATATTTGATGGTTTATACTAAGCTGGTAGCATAAACCATCAAATATTAAATATCAAGTACAATAGTGTCCTCAGGACTGAACCTTGAGGAACCCCATTTGTTACCCTGGCCAGACCTACGCGCTTCCTCTCTACTGTCACTTTCTGTCTTTCAGGTACTTCTTGGTCAACTTACCCTTCCACCCACTGCTTGATCCTGTTACTTGTTTCTCTGGTGTCAATTCTTTCGTTTACACTTCAGGAAATGAGACACTTGTATCTCTCGTTGTATCTCTGTGACTCTGTGACTCTATCACAAAAAATCAAAGGGTTTGTAAGACAGGATTTCCGGTCCCTGAATTCATGTTGGTTTTTCCTGACGGAGCCTCACTGTCCCTGTGCTCCAGTATCCTCCTGTGTGGGCGGATGTGTTGGGAGGGCGGATGTTTGTGTGTGGGGGAGAGGGGATGCGTTACCTGTATGTAAGTACTGAGTACAGATGTCCAGTAAAAAGTGAGTGCAGGTGCCTGCTATACCACCTTAACCAATGTGGAAGTGTTTATGTATGTGGTATTAACAAGGATCACCCATGTTGATGTCAGGTGAGCGTCGGGTGGCGGGTGTGTTGCCTCTTCCCAGGGGGCCCCTCACCGATGCCGCCCCCCTGGTCGGTGACGCCGCCTTCGTCAAGCCTCCCGCCGACGCCGATGGCTCAGTGGGAGGAGAGAGCGTGCCCGTGGCTGCAGTGGCCCCTCGCACCCCTACGGCTGCTGGGGGCACCACTGGGGCCCCCTCGTCACCCCCAGCACTCACCAGTGTGGTCGACGATGGCAGAGAGTCCTGGGGAAAGTCTATGGACTTCCTGCTCTCCATCATCGGCTTCGCCGTCGATCTCGCCAACGTGTGGCGCTTCCCTTTCCTCTGCTACCGTAATGGAGGAGGTAAGTATATGTTCACACCTCACAGAGCGTCTGTTATTGTAAAGGAGGTAAGTATTTCTCCACCTCAATGTCTGGCACTGTAACGGTTGAAGTATTTGTTCTCACCTCACAGGTCGTCTGGTATTGTAATAGAAGAGGTACGTATTTGTCCTCGCCTCACAGGTCGTCTGGCACTGTAATGGTGGAGGTATTTGTGTCGTTACTTCATGACCAACTTGTTAAGTTTATTCGTTAAAACCAGTGATAACTGCATGCTCACTTGCCTCCTGTTATTCACACGCACTCATAATATAAACCCTTTAGGTGCATTGACCTCAGATAAAATTTTCAAATCTCGTATCCTGTGAGGAAGTGAATTGATACATGACTTTAATATCAAGTGCCTTGTGTTGATAATATACATGGAAGGTGTACATAGCCTATGGAGATACTTATTATAACACGTGAAATATTCTAGTAGTTTTGCCAGGTTTTTCTACCCATTTTTCCAAATGCTATGAACATCACACTTGCTTATCACATTCTTTGTGGTTATAACTAGAAGCAAAAACAAAATACAACTTATAAGGAAGTCTTACCTAGTGAATATGCCCATCTCGCCCACAGGTGCCTTCCTACTACCCTACTTCCTGATCACTATGTTTGGAGCTCTGCCTCTCTTCTTCATGGAACTGGTGTTGGGCCAGTACAATAGGCAGGGGCCCATCACTGTGTGGAAAGTTTGCCCACTCTTCAGAGGTACGTCCCTTGAGTATTGTATAGTGATAAGGGGAATAGTGAAGCACCTGGAGACCGGAGGATTCTTGAAATACAACTAGCAGGAATTTAGAAACGTAAAGTCCTGTTTTATGGATCTGCTGGAGTTCTGCGACAGGGGGGTAAACCAGCAATGGGAGAAGGGCTGGTTCACCGCATGTTCCTGCATTGCAAGAATTCATTTGATCATGTAACACAGCATACAAGGATCCAGAAAGTAAAAGGGCAGGCGGGACTAACGAGAAAGAGACTACAATGGATCGCAGAATAAGTACCTGGAAGATAGTGATGATAAAGTATGAGATAGGTAGACGTGACAAGTGGGATCTCACAGGAGTGAGTACTGGAACCACTACTGTACCTCACTGTATAAACGACTAGGCTAGGCTGCACTAGTACAGCAGGCTAGGCTGCACTAGTACAGCAGGCTAGGCTGCACTAGTATAGCAGGCTAGGCTGCACTAGTATAGCAGGCTAAGCTGCACTAGTATAGCAGGCTAGGCTGCACTAGTATAGCAGGCTAGGCTGCACTAGTATAGCAGGCTAGGCTGCACTAGTATAGCAGGCTAAGCTGCACTAGTATAGCAGGCTAGGCTGCACTAGTATAGCAGGCTAGGCTGCACTAGTATAGCAGGCTAGGCTGCACTAGTATAGCAGGCTAAGCTGCACTAGTATAGCAGGCTAGGCTGCACTAGTATAGCAGGCTAGGCTGCACTAGTATAGCAGGCTAAGCTGCACTAGTATAGCAGGCTAGGCTGCACTAGTATAGCAGGCTAGGCTGCACTAGTATAGCAGGCTAAGCTGCACTAGTATAGCAGGCTAGGCTGCACTAGTATAGCAGGCTAGGCTGCACTAGTATAGCAGGCTAGGCTGCACTAGTATAGCAGGCTAAGCTGCACTAGTATAGCAGGCTAAGCTGCACTAGTATAGCAGGCTAGGCTGCACTAGTATAGCAGGCTAGGCTGCACTAGTATAGCAGGCTAAGCTGCACTAGTATAGCAGGCTAGGCTGCACTAGTATAGCAGGCTAAGCTGCACTAGTATAGCAGGCTAGGCTGCACTAGTATAGCAGGCTAGGCTGCACTAGTATAGCAGGCTAGGCTGCACTAGTATAGCGGGCTAGGCTGCACTACTCTCTCAGAGAGTTATTTATACTGTTGAAACTTACCTTATTTCTTTATACAGTACTGTTGTAGGATCACCAGAGAAGGTCGCAATATAGTTTCGTTATTGCAACTTAAAGTAACTTTAAGAATTTATAGGCTTAAATTATAGTTTGTACAAGGCTCGCCAAGACTTAAATAATAGTTTGTACAAGGCTCGTCAAGACTTAAATAATAGTTTGTACAAGGCTCGTCAAGATAGAAAGAACCAGTCTTTATATTTTATTATGTACGGGTTCAGTGCACTTTGTGTATATAATAATAATATCCTTTATGATTAAAATTTATTTTCTTTTAGTAAAAAGTAACCTGTTGGTTTCTCTTGATGAAAACGCATACTTAGGGTAAGATGATTCAATGTATGTAGCTGACATTATGGCTTTGTTATTTTGGTAGATTAATCGAATCCAATTAGATGTTATTTATAAAAACAAACAACTTTGTGTAGCATACAATATGTAGCTTACATGTAATATAATATTGTTAAGCACAAGGAAAGCCACTAGCATGCATGTGCATTTCGGGCAGAAATGTATGTATATATTATAACAGAATCTTAAAATTTATACTAGTATCGTGTAGAAAAGTTACGAGAGCATTATTTGTCCAATGGTTATTTGGGACTTTAGGTGAAATTTTGAGGGCAGGATATCGGCCAGTTAGAAAGGATTAATGGTGTACTTGCCAGTGACTCAGTTAGCCAGGGACCAGCTGGTGTGTGACGGTATTTGCTGTCACTGTGTGAGAGCCTCGTATTTTCTGTGAGACAATCGGAATGATTTTGTTCGAATTTTTAACCTAGAGTGTTAGCCACCCAGGATAATCCAATAGTCGATCGAAGACTGTCTATCATGTTTCAATTGTGGGCCTTTAAATATTCTCCCCAGGATGTCACCCACGACAGTCGACTAACATCCAGGCACCTATTTATTGCTAAGTAATCAAGGGCAGCAGGTGTGAGGAAACGTTCAACATTTCACCAGTACGCTGGATCCCCCTCCCTCAGTGAGTTGAGGACGCTACCAACAGAGCCACAAACACCCTATGGAGCACAGTAATTTGTGATCTGTTTAGGGAAGAGCTTTTGTATTCCCAGTTGAAGCAGTGAGAACACTGCTTCAACTATTTGATGGGCTGAATTAGGAGGAAAGTGAACATGATAGTTCCTGTGAGACTACTTGTGAGCATCTCTATAAATGTTTTGTTTTTATGTTACCTGATAGGTTTTATCCTCTTTCTGTCGTCCAAGTATATAACAGCATGGTATATGGTAATGGCACAGTAATTCCTGGTACCATTGTTGAAGTTTCTTCAATTATTCCTCATATATCTGATATTTCAGTATAATTATTATACATCATTCCTTACTGACTAATCAGTCGCAACATATAGCAAAATATATTTTGACATTATTTATACAACTTATTTATTTATTAATTTGAACATGATACAGTAAAGTACATTGTTTAGTTATTCTCTGTAAGATTAGTATCCCTGAGAAATCGTGATAGATGATTCTCGTTCGTGATTGTGTACAGTTGACCTACAGTCGTTTTCCTAACTAGAATTTTCCCATCCCGTGTGAAGCATTGGTGTACTGTGTCATTATTTTCCCGCTTAAGTTTTCTGACTATACAGGAGGTTCTGGCGTTTTTTGGTAAGACACTCGTTTATGTATACCTCTTTCTTTACTTTAATAGATGCAATTATTAAGTCTTTTTCCTGTCATGTGAGTGGAATCTAAGCGTAACACTTTTTCTACCATGGGATCCTAGTAACCTGGGTTCCTTTATTTCTGACTCGGGTACAATAACACTTGTTTGGTCCTTTATGATCTGGAGAGTAATTTCTTTACTGTTCGTTTGGTTCATATCACTGGGAAAAAGTGGACTGTTAACTATTACTGCGTCCGATAGTTTATCTTGTTCAGTTTTATCTTCTTGGAGAGCAAAGTAGTCACTGAACTGGTTATCTAAGTTGTTCTTCCATTCTTTTACTGCTTCTTCAGCCTTTGTATTAAGAGATATTATTCGTTCTGTATGTCTATCTATGACTGTTTGGATGGTTTTGCCATAGTTAGTCATTCCTGGTGTTGATAACTTTTGTTCAAGACTGAGGATTTTGTTCTCGAGTTGTGTCATCCTGGTGTCTTGTTTTGTTAGCGTCTCTCGAAGATTCATATTTTCAATAACTAAGGTGGAGATGCATGACTTTAGGGTATCTGGATCGTTGGTCATACCTGAGAGACTACTTGGTAGGTTGAATCCGGGGAAGAGAGGGGAGGATGGGCTGGTGGCAGCCATGTTTGTTGTTATTGTTGTGGTGTGGCTTTGAGCGGTGGTGAGAGGGGTGGTAGCTGGCCGGCGTCCTCCTGGCTACACTTGTTGAATACTTGATTTTTCGGTGTTTTCTTGCTGGCCTTGGTGCTGTTTCCTCTTAGATTGCGCAGTTATTATATCTGTTTTGCACATGATATTCACTATTTACCTAGTTAACCCCCTTTCGTGACCAAGACTACAGAGCACAGAAACAGAGGCTGCAACCCTCGACCTAGCAGAACCTTGTGTTAACACAGCGCCCAGCGCATCGCCAGGAACGAGTATCAATAAGAATCATTCAGAACCCAGACACAACACAGGTCAGACTTCTCATAGAGCAAGAAACACCTGCCAGAAGACCACACCTGGTCGCGCTTAACAAACTAGATAAAGTCCAGATATTTACAGCAAGACCTAAGAGGCTCACCTACGAAGAATCTATGCAAATTAAACCTGACGGTTTTGGAGGAAAGAACAACCAGGGAGCTCCCATATGTAAAACCTTTTTTTGTAAGTTTATCTCCCAGTTATTACAAAGTTACGCTACATCTCTTCATCTCAGACCATTAAAATTTGATTCGGAGACAAAAAGGTGCTTGGAGAGGTTCTTCATAAGCTCTCCAAGGCAATGTTCGATTTTCACTAACAGATATTTAATCTGCTGATAATTTACATTGCATAGTTTGTACGCAAGAACAGTGACTAAATTAGGTTTGATCCGAGGAAGACGAGGCTTACATAGTCAACATAGTTTCATTAACAGTTCTACTACTATATGTATGTACGTATAGGTAATATAGTGTTATTCCTCCCGTGATGGTAGGCGTGGGCTACTGCGCCGTGCTGGTGGCCTACTTTGTCAGCTTCTATTACAACGTGATCATCGCCTGGTCCATCTACTACGTGTACGCCTCCTTCAGCTACGAGCTGCCCTGGACCTCCTGCAACCACACCTGGAATACTGACAACTGCTGGGACGGCCTCACCTCAGAGGAGCCCAGACCTAATTCCTCCAATCTCATGTCCCCCTCCGAAGAGTACTTCAAGTAGGTGTTTTAGAGAGAGAGAGAGAGAGAGAGAGAGAGAGAGACGTAACGTAACGCTTTAGGTTCTAACGTGTTAACTGGTATATACTGTACTGCTTTCTGCTGTATAGCCCTTGTGGCTTAGCGCTTCTTTTTTATTATAATAATAATAATGTACTGCTTCTGTTAACTTAGCTTCAACAGTCAGGATGATCCACCAGCAACATTACCACACTCTATAACACAGCAGCAGCATCACCTCACTGTATAACAGCAGCAGCATCACTACATTCTACAAAGCCGCATTCATCACCTCACCACTTTGTGATCCGGTTATTGACAATTTAGTGAAATTTTGAACTGATGTTGTTAACCCTGTTTGATAGTATTTACCTTGTTTTAATCATACCACGAGTTTATTATTGCTACTTAATTTTACCTTCGATGTTCTTCCTTTGTATTTTTTTTTATTAACAACAAACTATCCGGTCAGAGCACTCTTTAAATGTCAGAACAGCCTATTTATTCTACATGGTGTTCCCCAGCTGACGGAGGCGCTAAATAGTATCTCACATTGGTCTAGCACTGCATACAAATAATAGCCTTCCATTCTAACACAGTCCATCGTTGACAGCTTCGTGGTGCTGCAGATGGATAAGAGTGGAGGTTTTGACGACCTGGGTCCTCCTCAGCCTGGCCTCGTACTCTGTGGCCTCCTTACCTACATCATCCTCTACCTCTCACTCTTCAAGGGCGTCAAGTCCTCAGGTGAGTCCCTGATAAAAGTCGCTGATAGCTACATGCTAGTCGTAATCTTGTCCTGTTTCCTGACAAACCTAATACTTATCTACTTACATGCTAGTCCCACAGACAATCATCAATCGCGTGTCACTAGTAAAATATAGCCTTCAATCCGCCTTACACACATCCAGTAATGAAAATCCCAAATTAAATTTTCAACTATTTATCCTGTGTTAGCTAAAAAGGAATTTTAGCGATTCTAAGTAAACAGTTATTCTCTTGAGGCTACCTCACCATATGTTATGTTTATCGTCTATGAAGTAGTTAATAATAATTGCCACGGCGGAATGAAAAGAAAAACTTGTCTGTCGTGCGAGGCTTCCCGTGCAATTTCTTGCTCGGATGAGGGTTGCTTGCCTAGAGTGTGGCCTCCATGTTTGTGGTCAGGGAGATTGTTCTCTCCCTGCCCCCCTTAGATGGTGCCTGAAGTATGACCGCCACGGTGATGACCTTGGCTGATTTCCACGAGCATAATTTGGCTCGTGCATTGGTGAGTTTTCACTGATTGGTCAGAAAGCAGTGGTGCCGGCTTTGAGGGCTTGTCATGTATAGTTACCAAATGAGTCCACTGTTGGCTGGGAAGCTCCACGTAATCCGCGGATCCACGCCTAGCATAAGAGCATGGAAATATGGATAAAGTCACATTTATCTCCATGGGATTTTTTAATGCTTGGGGTCAATGTCTAGGTTTGTAAATGCTATTCTTAGGTTTGCGAGAATAGGCTGTGTTGTTGGTGTTATTCTTTGTGTTCTTCATGGAACATGTTTGGGGGTAATAATTATTTCAATGCCTTTTATATTACTGTTTCTGTAAGCTTCATCCCCTTCCCAGATGGTATTCTGATGTTTACTCTCCTTTTCCTGTCTCCGTTTCAAATCTTTAATTTTCCTCATTAGTTCTACATCAGTAAACAGAGATACTGTGTGTGTATTGACGTAGTGGCGTGGTGTGTTATGGTGGTTGTGTTGTCACAGGTAAGGTTGTCTGGGTGACAGCCACTATGCCCTACGTGATCCTGACGCTGCTGCTCATCCGTGGGGCACTCCTCCCTGGGGCTGCTGACGGTCTTCTCTACTACATCAAACCTTCCATCTCCGCCCTCTCCAACCCACAGGTGAGCACTCTGCAACACCAGTCGTTAGGGAGTCCTCATCAAGTAGTTCTCAACATGGAGTATGTTTAAAAAATATTTGCAATATGTAATTCTGTCCTCTCATCAAACTTACACTCTTTTAACTCTACCTGGTCCGTGCCTTCCCTACCATTACACCTGCCTTGTAACCTATTTCTTAACCTTTTTTTTTTTTAAGTTGATCGGGTGCTTGTAGGGCCCTCGGGAAACTTCTTGAATTTTCTTAATATTGAAAATAAGTATTTGTGTCGAATGTTTTATGCTAACAGTTTTATTTTTGTTAATCAGTTATACTTACTATATTCTTAGGTATTTCTGTAATTGAGAAGAGGGATGAGTGATCTCCCAGGTCAAAGCAATCTTCAGTTTTCCTATCCTCCCGTTTCCCTTACCTATCCACTAAACACTGTCTCCGTCTACTTGTGATTAATCCCAACTTTCTTGTTCCTTCACTGATAATGATGTATTCATTTCGCAAGAAGATACATTATAGTTACAATAATAAGGGGCCAGTATTTCTATAAAAAAAAAAAAAAAAAAAAAAGGAAAAAGTCCATAGCTATGCATAAAACGTCCATCCACAGTTGCACTGGGTGTTACAGGACCTCAATGAAAAAGTCACTGTCTGATTTTCTTGGGTTATCCTAGGTAATTTACACTATGTATGATAATTGTACTTATGTGTACCTGTGCCTATATAAAGTTACTTACAGGTGTGGTACGAGGCAGCGGTGCAAGTGTTCTTCTCGGTGGGTGCTGGCTTCGGCGTGCACCTTTCCTATGCCTCCTACAATACCTTCAACAACAACTGCTACAGAGACTGCCTCATCACCAGCTTAGTGAACGCCTTTACAAGCTTCTACTCTGGCCTCGTCATCTTCACATACCTGGGCTATATGGCCTTCAAACAGAAGACTCACATTAGCAGAGTTGCCACTGATGGTAGTTCCCTTGTCTGCGGTTTATAAGCAGTTTGAAATTATAAATAAACTGGTTATTGTGATTATAATCAAATTAAAATTTTCACCCAGTAGTTGTGTTTTGACTCAGTTTTCATCTCTCGCAGGTCCTGGACTGGTGTTCCAAGTGTACCCTGAGGCGGTGGCTACGCTTCCCGGGTCACAGTTCTGGTCCTGTTTGTTCTTTCTCATGCTCATCGCCCTCGGCCTCGACTCCGGCGTGAGTAGTGTGACCAAGTCCACACAAATACCTGTTAAAATGTTTTGTTCTATGCCTCCTTCCATATTGATCCTAGCCCTTGTTACATGTTGTGTTATGGATTCTGATGTACACATCTGTGGGAACCAGGTTCCTCCCCCCCCCCCTCAAACAAAAACAAAACTCATTCCTCCCTGCTACTGTCTTGTCCACCTGCCTTGCACATCTCACTCTCCTAAATACCTGCCTTTCGCCCCCACAGATGGGCGGACTGGAGTGTGTCATCACAGGGATGCTTGATGAACTACGACGCACCTTCGGTAGGAAGACCATCAGAAGGGAACTCTTCACCGCCATCGTCGTCACCTCCTCCTTCCTCGTCTCTATCACTAACTTCTGTCAGGTGAGGGACGGAAACTCGGTCTAACAATCTTCCACATACTCGCCGTACTCCTTTTTTAATTTCGTCATGCTTGTCTTTATTGCTTGTGAAGACTGGTATTCCAAATGGGAGAAGAATGAAATTAGTTCAGTAACTTCCACCGCCACGTATGTGCTCGCTTCAGGGATGACATGTCCAGTGGTACTTGGCATCTAATGTTTGAAGCATTGATGGCCGAGTTGACTAAGGTGTCTTGAAATTTTGGCGGGATTCCCGGGAGACATGCTAAAGTATCGGGGATTCGATTCCCCCGATAATATATATATATATATATAAAATATATATATTATATATATATATATATATATATATATATATATATATATATTTTATATATATTATATATTTTATATAGCCGGACTTGAGTCCTGTAAATGGGAAGTACAATGCCTGCACTCTAAAGGAGGGGTTTTGGATATTGGCAGTTTGGAGGGATATATTGTGCATTTTTTATACGTATATACTTCTAAACTGTTGTGTTCTGAGCACCTCTGCAAAAACAGTGATTATGTGTGAGTGAGGTGAAAGTGCTGAATGATTAAAGTATTTTCTTTTTGGGGATTTTCTTTCTTTTTGGGTCACCCTGCCTCGGTGGGAGACGGCCGACTTGTTATATATATATATATATATATATATATATATATATATATATATATATATATATATATTTATATAATATTTTATATATATAAGTCCTGTTTAAGGGCAATGTGTGGTGTAAATATTATGCAGAAAATTCGGAGTGTGGAAATTAGGAGAAGGTGTGGAGTTAATAAAAGTATTAGTCAGAGGGCAGAAGAGGGGTTGTTGAGGTGGTTTGGTCATTTAGAGAGAATGGATCAAGTAGAATGACATGGAAAGCATATAAATCTATAGGGGAAGGAAGGCGGGGTAGGGGTCGTCCTCGAAAGGGTTGGAGAGAGGGGGTAAAGGAGGTTTTGTGGGTAAGGGGCTTGGACTTCAGCAAGCGTGCGTGAGCGTGTTAGATAGGAGTGAATGGAGACGAATGGTACTTGGGACCTGACGATCTGTTGGAGTGTGAGCAGGGTAATATTTAGTGAAGGGATTCAGGGAAACCGGTTATTTTCATATAGTCGGACTTGAGTCTGGAAATGGGAAGTACAATGCCTGCACTTTAAAGGAGGGGTTTGGGATATTGGCAGTTTGGAGGGATATATTGTGTATCTTTATATGTGTATGCTTCTAGACTGTTGTATTCTGAGCACCTCTGCAAAACAGTGATAATGTGCGAGTGTGGTGAAAGTGTTGAATGATGATGAAAGTATTTTCTTTTTGGGGATTTTTCTTCTTTTTTGGGTCACCCTGCCTCGGTGGGAGACGGGCGACTTGTTGAAATATATATATATATATATATATATATATAATATATATATATATATATATATATATATATATATATATATATATATATATATATATGTATATATGTATATATAATGTCGTGCCAAATAGGTAAAACTGGTCATTTAGCAAGAACTCATTTAAAATTAAGTCTTTTCTAAAATTTTATCTTATACATTTAAGGATATATTTTTTTTCATTTATATTAATACAAAAATTAATGATTTTGTACCAAAAGGACCTTAGAAAACTTACCTAACCTTATTATAACAATCGCAATTTAATTTAGCCTAATCCAACTAAATATATTTTATATAAATTTATAATAATTTAATAATAAACAAGCACAATGAAATATACTTTTTTTTGGGTTAGATTCAGAATGATTTTTGCGAAATTATTGCATACACAAATTTTTGCTTGCCCTATTCGGCAAGAAGTCCTTTCCTATTTAAGCCAAGATGGCAAGTTTCACTTATTCTGCACGATATATATATTTTTAAATATATATATATATAATATTATATATATAATATATATATATATATATATATGTATAATTTTTTTTTTTTCCAACAAGTCGGTCGTCTCCCACCGAGGCAGGGTGACCAAAAAAAAGAAAGAAAATCCCCAAAAAGAAAATACTTTCATCATCATTCAACACTTTCACCACACTCACACATTATCACTGCTTTTGCAGAGGTGCTCAGAATATAACAGTTTAGAAGCATATACGTATAGAGATACACAACATATCCTCCAAACTGCCAATATCCCAAACCCTCCTTTAAAGTGCAGGCATTGTACTTCTCATTTCCAGGACTCAAGTCCGACTATATGAAAATAACCCGGTTTCCCTGAATCCCTTCACTAAATATTTACCCTGCTCACACTCCAACAGATCGTCAGGTCCCAAGTATCATTCGTCTCCATTCACTCCTATCTAACACGCTCATGCACGCTTGCTGGAAGTCCAAGCCCCTCACCCACAAAACCTCCTTACCCCCTCTTTCCAACCCTTTCGAGGACGACCCCTACCCCTCTTTCCTTCCCCTATAGATTTATATGCTTTCCATGTCATTCTACTTTGATCCATTCTCTCTAAATGACCAAACCACCTCAACAACCCTCTTCTGCCCTCTGACTAATGCTTTTATTAACTCCACACCTTCTCCTAATTTCCACACTCCGAATTTTCTGCATAATATTTACACCACACATTGCCCTCAGACAGGACATCTCCACTGCCTCCAACCGTCTCCTCGCTGCTGCATTTACCACCCAAGCTTCACATCCATATAAGAGTGTTGGTACTACTATACTTTCATACATTCCCTTCTTTGCCTCCATAGATAACGTTTTTTGACTCCACATATACCTCAACGCACCACTCACCTTTTTTCCCTCATCAATTCTATGATTAACCTCATCCTTCATAAATCCATCCGCCGACACGTCAACTCCCAAGTATCTGAAAATATTCACTTCTTCCATACTCCTCCTCCCCAATTTGATATCCAATTTTTCTTTATCTAAATCGTTTGATACCCTCATCACCTTACTCTTTTCTATGTTCACTTTCAACTTTCTACCTTTACACACATTCTCAAACTCATCCACTAACCTTTGCAATTTTTCTTTAGAATCTCCCATAAGCACAGTATCATCAGCAAAAAGTAACTGTGTCAATTCCCATTTTGAATTTGATTCCCCATAATTTAATCCCACCCCTCTCCCGAACACCCTGCATTTACTTCTTTTACAACCCCATCTATAAATATATTAAACAACCATGGTGACATTACACATCCCTGTCTAAGACCTACTTTTACCGGGAAGTATTCTCCCTCTTTTCTACACACCCTAACCTGAGCCTCACTATCCTCATAAAAGCTCTTTACAGCATTTAGTAACTTACCACCTATTCCATATACTTGCAACATCTGCCACATTGCTCCTCTATCCACTCCCCTCAAGGAAGGTTCCTTGATGTTGGTGAGGGGCTCTTGATTTAGGGAATTGGTTCTGTGCTCCAGTTCCCCGAATTAAGCCTGAATGCCTTCCACATATCCCCCCCCCAGGCGCTGTATAATCCTCCGGGTTTAGCGCTTCCCCCTTGATTATAATAATAATAATAATAATCCTCTATCCACTCTATCATATGCCTTTTCTAAATCCATAAATGCAATAAAAACTTCCCTACCTTCATCTAAATACTGTTCACATATATGCTTCAATGTAAACTCTTGATCTACACATCCCCTACCCACTCTGAAACCTCCTTGTTCGTCCGCAATTCTACATTCTGTCTTACCTCTAATTCTTTCAATTATAACCCTACTGTATACTTTTCCTGGTATACTCAGTAAACTTATTCCTCTATAATTTTTACAGTCTCTTTTGTCCCCTTTCCCTTTATATAAAGGGACTATACATGCTCTCCGCCAATCCCTAGGTACCTTCCCCTCTTTCATACATTTATTAAACAAAAGTACCAACCACTCCAACACTATATCCCCCCCTGCTTTTAACATTTCTGTCATGATCCCATCAGTTCCAGCTGCTTTACCCCTTTCATTCTACGTAATGCCTCACGTACCTCCACCACACTTACAGTCTGCTCTTCTTCACTCCTAAAAGATGGTATACCTCCCTGGCCAGTGCATGAAATTACCGCCTCCCTTTCTTCCTTAACATTTAAAAGTTCCTCAAAATATTCTCGCCATCTACCTAATACCTCCCTCTCCCCATCTACTAACTCCCCTACTCTGTTTTTAACTGACAAATCTATACTTTCCCTAGGCTTTCTTAACTTGTTTAACTCACTCCAAAATTTTTTCTTATTTTCATTAAATATATATAATATATATATATATATATATATATATATATTATATATATATATATATATATATATATATATATATATATATATCAACAACACTGCGACTAGCCAAGGAGTCGAACCAATTCTGCTTTGGCCTGCCTCGTGGTGGACGAAAACTCATGACGCCTTAGTCCACTGGGATTGTGTGGGCCCGTGGATTAAGGCGTCATGAGTTTTCGCCCACCATGAGGCAGGCCAAAGCAGCGTGGGTTCTACTCACTGTGTATAAATGGTGTGTGTTTATCTTTGACAGGGCGGGATGTACGTGTTCCACTGGTTGGACACTTATGCTGCTGGCATCTCCCTCCTCTGCTCCGCTCTCTTTGAAGCAGTCGCAATCTCTTGGTTCTACGGTAAGTGAAAATAAAAGTAAATGTTAAGTAATAGTAATCAAATCATTATCATTCATGAGTAGGTATACAACTAAACTAGGACACTCACGTGAGTGTCCTAGTTTAGTTGTATACCTACTAGATTTGCAAATTTGTCTAGCAAGCAGTGTCCCTTGGGACCATGGTGCCCCTCTTTTATAATTCAACCCTGTACCTTAAATAAAAATCACCCATTAGTGTTGACAACTCTCCGCCGTCTTGTCAGGGCTGCCATGAGAATTGTAAGTTGTGATGCAGTCAAAATGCTGAAGACAATAATTCAGCTTAGCTTTTGAGAATCTACAAGACTGAGGCAGTAGTCCATGGAGCATGGCCTTACATTGTTAACCTAGAAGATAAAAAAAATCCTGATTGAATTGGATTTTGCCAATGAGTTTAACTTGTAAGGATGGTGAACATTGTTAAACATTCTGGAATCTATTTCGAAGTTCACTGCATGTGGCAGGATTTGATGAAATTAATTATCACAAGACTGGTGCTCCGGGGTATGGCTGAAGGTGTCTGGCTGTGTGGCTAATGTACTGTGTACTTTAATGCAGAGTTCACACGTTTCTGCTGCGCACTAAGATACAGTGGTGTGTGTGTGCGTGTGTATACAGGTGATATCACAATATGCAAAACAACCAGTGAAAAAATAGTGAAATATCAAGTGCTTCGTGATTTCTATTACACAAACTTGGATAATCCTTCCATTAGCACGCCTCACAGCTCCTCCTAACTTTACATTCATTGTCATCTCCACCCTTATTTATCCATTAATTCCTACTCCGCAGCGCTATATGACCCTGGTAGGTTTGGCGCTTCCTTCTGATTATAATAATAATTCGTGATTTCTCACATTATCACGAAAGTACTTGGAATATCACTTTTTCACGGTAGTTTTGTGTACACACACTATATATATAATATATATATATATATATATAATATATATATATATATATATATATATATATATATATATATATATATATAATGACAAGCCACTGGGGGGCGGAAATCTTTAGCTCAAGTACTTTCACACTTCTCAGTGCTTCATCAGGAGCTGTGCAATGTTGCAAGGGAGCAACCAAAACAGGGAGAGAGGTCTTAGAGTAGCGTAGGTATCACTGGCCACGGTTATCCTTAGACTGGGTTAGTGGTCGGTGCCAACCCCACCCTCCCATCATCCCCTCCACTACCCATATAGGGTAGGAGGGTTTCTGAGATGTCAAGTAGGAAAGGCATTTGTACTTAATGTGCACTAGATTTTTTACAACTTGTAAAACTAGAAACTAGTGCTAAAATAAACAAGATTTACACACACATACACACACAATATATATATATATATATATATATATATATATATATATATATATATATATATATATATATATATATATATATATATATATATATATTGTGTGTGTGTATGTGTGTGTGTGTAAATCTTGTTTATTTTAGCACTAGTTTCTAGTTTTACAAGTTGTAAAAAATCTAGTGCACATTAAGTACAAATGCCTTTCTGAAATTTTTTTTAAAGTACAGTATTTACTCAGCACTGGGATTACATATCTTTGGGCATTTTTGGAAAAGTCGTTTGTCACGCCAAGCATTTCTGATTATTAACCCGAAGGGACTACTAACCCAGCACAACCTAAAGCCACTATGTTTGACTTAATTTCATGAGGATCCTTTGATCATCATGCCCAGGCTGAGACCTACAACAGTCTGCTAACACCCAGGTACCTACTTACTACTTGGGTGAGCAGAGGCAATAGCTGTAAGGGAAACATTTCCAACACTTCCATTCTTACCGTGTTCGAACCGGGCTCTCTCGTCACCTGGATGATGAACAGGAACTACATACTGATCCTGTACTCGCCTAATTGTGGTTGCAGGGGTCGATTCATAGCTCCTGGCCCTGTGTGTGTATGTGGATGGCAGCACACACTACCATAGGATGCTACACACCTAGTTACGAGTGTCAGCAGGTGTCGTGAGCCTAGCCCAGGAATTAATATAGCGAAGTGCCTCTGCCCCCGGCTAGGCTGCTCCACTCACCCATTATATGCCACTCTTCCTCAACCAACAACTGCACGAATAAAGTACAGAGAACAATACTTCTTTTTAACCACGTTAGTAATGAATATATAAAGATATCTTCTAGCCTCGTCAGTAATTAATATATTAGGATATCTACTAACCACGTCAGTAATTAATATGCTCTAACGTGTCAGTAATTAATATATTCGGATATATGTTCAAGCCAGAGTAATATATTAGGATGTGTTATAATCACAATATTAACTAATCCACAAGATTGTACATTTTTTATATACAACTGTTACTAGTGAATATTATAACAGAAATCAGTCCATACTGTCTTGATGTATATTATTATGCGGGAGCGCTAAGACGGTAGGGGGTCATTATAGTGCCTGGTAAATTAGGTTTGATGTAAGGAAGTAGACAGTAGCTTCAATTCTTCGGATCAAGGGCCCCTTCTCTTCCCCCCCTCCCCCTTTACCGTCACTAACACGCCTTAATTTCATTTAATGCAGCTAATGGACAACAACGCTAAAGCACATGATAAACAATTTAAAATATTTTATAACTACAAAGAGTCACTGGGTGTCCAGGACGGGGTAGCTTTATGTGGTTGCATTTTTTTTTTTTTTTGTTTACTCCGAAATTGTTCTTTAATTTGAGAACGCCTCACTTGATCAGCTTTAGATTTTCCAGCTGATGTACTGTAACTATGGAAAGGTTCATGCAACTATTGGCATGTTCAGGTGCCCTCTCGTCAGTGTTATACACACCATTCCCGGGTTTGATTTCCGTGTGATAACTTTAGAAATCGTCTTCAGATTGGCTTCAAACTTTCAACACTGGTGTATCTTAGAAGAAAGTTTATATTGATACTGGAAAATGTATGTGGCAATCTGTCATTTTTATTGTTAAAATGGTGTATTTTTTCCTATTATTATTATTATTATTATTATTATTATTAAAGATTAGCCGGTATTCTCCCGGCCCGGGCCTTTTCCAAGTGGTGGCCCGGCCTTGGCTCCCTCTTTAGGGAGTGTCTGAGACCTAAGTCTCCCATGGGAGGAGGTACAAGTACCTCCTCATCTTTGGGACCAACTGTCCCCAGGCCTAGCCACAAGCTAGGCCTCTCTGGTCTGCCATCCCCGCCCCAAGGGGGCAAATGGGAATGACAGTCTTATGAGCTAAAGGCTCGGGATCAGGCACCTACCCTACCCTAGAAGGGTTAGGCATGGTATCGATCTTTTTCTTATAAAATAACTTGAGTATGCCTCTTGTGAATGGCTGCAATTTTAATTGTTGATGCATCTTATGCAAAAGATGGGAAGGAACCCGGTAAATTAATGCTATGTAGATGCATGTTTGCCAGTTTCCTAACATTGTTAATGAAATTGTAAATGCTTGATTCAGATTAATAACAGAAGCATGCCTCATCTGTGCACCTTCAAACTCTAAATGTTGGTGTATCTTAATTAGAAAAAAAAAAACACTGGATTTATTTTAGGTTATGTAGGTGCCAATTTGCCAATATGACTGAAGAAACGATAAAAATTTACACTGGTTGTCATGCGGTAAATTGCGGATGGACTTCAAACTTTCAGCAGGTGCCGATTGGCAGTCCAATGATTTACTCCTCTCTTTGAAATCTAATGGCTTGCCCTTCTCTGAAATATAATGGCTTACCCTTCTCTGAAATATAATGGCTTACCCTTCTCTGAAATATAATGGCTTGCCCTTCTCTGAAATCTAATGGCTTACCCTTCTCCGAAATCTAATGGCTTGCCCTTCTCTGAAATATAATGGCTTACCCTTCTCTGAAATCTAATGGCTTGCCCTTCTCTGAAATATAATGGCTTACCCTTCTCTGAAATATAATGGCTTGCCCTTCTCTGAAATATAATGGCTTACCCTTCTCCGAAATATAATGGCTTACCCTTCTCTGAAATATAATGGCTTACCCTTCTCCGAAATCTAATGGCTTGCCCTTCTCTGAAATATAATGGCTTACCCTTCTCTGAAATATAATGGCTTGCCCTTCTCTGAAATATAATGGCTTACCCTTCTCCGAAATATAATGGCTTACCCTTCTCTGAAATATAATGGCTTACCCTTCTCTGAAATATAATGGCTTACCCTTCTCCGAATATAATGGCTTACCCTTCTCTGAAATATAATGGCTTACCCTTCTCTGAAATATAATGGCTTACCCTTCTCTGAAATATAATGGCTTACCCTTCTCTGAAATCTAATGGCTTACCCTTCTCTGAAATATAATGGTTTGCCCTTCTATCTTTGAAATCTAATGGTTTACCCTTCTATCTTTGAAATCTAATAGTTTACCCTTCTATCTTTGAAATCTAATGGTTTACCATTCTGTCTTTGAACTCGAATGGTTTATCTCTCTTTTTGAAATCTGTTGGTTTATCTTTCTCTCTGCCTCGTAGTCTTAGAAAACAGGCAGATTCCAGTTTCTAAAAAAAATCCAATAATTTTTGCTTAAAAGTTTGTCGAGATTTTCAGTAAAATATAACAGAAAAGAAAATTGATATATGTATATCCAAAACTAGAGTGTTTATGGTATTTTTCACCTTCACAAGTTTGATGAGTCCCTGAAGATATTTCCTCATGTTTTTATTCCAGAGGCGGTACATATCTCAAATGCAGTGTTATTTTCTTCAGGCTTTTCTACTTTTTTGGGTAAACTATAAATAAGACAAGGTTCATGGAACAGTTTGTATATTCAGGTGGCCTTTGGTCACTTTTGTATAGACCAGTTGTCCCAAACCCCAATGGAAATAAATCACTCTGTCTGACTTTTTTGGGTTATCCTAGGTTCTCTACACATATGCTATGTATGATAATTCTATGTAACTGTATTTGTGTATACCTGAATAAACTTACTAACCTGTGGCCCTTCTAGGAAATGGATG